TGGGCTCCGGCGATCCTTCCGCCTCAGCCTTCCAAGTAGCTGGAACTATAGGTGCACGCTGCCATGCCTGGCTAATTTTTTGATTTATTGTAGAGATGAGGTCTCGCCAGTTACCCGGGCGGGTCTCGAACCCGTGGGCTCAGGCAATCCACTCACCTCAGCCTCCCAAAGGTGCGGGATTACAGGCTGAGGCACTGAGCCTGGCTATTTTCGTTTGTTTCAATTTTAGAGTTTGCTTTTCTTTCTGGTTTAAGTTTTTGAATATGTATGTCATTCATTATGTGTCTTAAAAAAAAGCTTTACCCAAAGAAGTCTCTCTATTATTCATCTTAACCCTTCCATCATGTAGGTGACTATTTCATTAATTTCTGATTTATTCTTCTTGTGTTTCTTTTGCAAAAATAAGCAAATTCATATGCATAGTATCACTTCCTCCTATTTCTTAAATAAGGGGTAGCATGTGATTTATGCTCTTTTGTTTTGCTTTGTTTTTGAGTTGTAGTCTCCTGTCACTCAGGCTGGAGTGCATTGACATGCTTATGGTCACCGTAGCCTCAACCTGCTAGGCTCAGGCGATCCTTATGCCTCAGCCTTCTAAGTAGCTGGAACTACAGGTGTGCGCCACCACGCCTGGCGAGTTTTTTGATTTATTGCAGAGACAAGGTCTTGGCATGTTGCTTGTTTTTAACCCGTGGGCTCAGGCAGTCCTTTTGCCCCTTCCTCCCAAAGTGTTGGGATTACCAGCGTGAGCCACTGTGCCTGGTCTTATGCTCTTTTACACTTTGCTTTTTTTCCTTTCTAACTTAATATATCCTAGAAATCATTCCACAGCAGTTCATTGAGCTCATCCTTATTCTTTTCTGTATAATCCTTCATTGTGTGATATTCCTGGTATATTCAAATAGTTGCATTTAGGTTTCTTTTAGCAATTTGCTATTACAAATAGTGTCATGTTAAATAACGTGCACTTGTCATTTATTTTGAATAAATAACTAGAAGTAGGAATGTTGGGTTAAAAGGAAAAAAAAATTATATATATGAATATATATTTTTTGAGCTTGAGTCTCACTCTGTCACCTAGGCTGGAGTGCAGTGGCATGCTCACGGCCACCGCAGCCTCGATCTGCTGGGTTCAGGTGATCCTTCTGCCTCAACCTTCCAAGTAGCTGGAAATACAGGCGTGCACCACCACGCCCAGCTAATTTTTTTGATTTATTGTAGAGATGGGGTCTCACCAAGTTGCCCAGGCTGGTCTCAAACCCGTGTGCTCAGGCAGTCCTCTCACCTTGGCCTCCCAAAGTACTGGGATTATAGATGTGAACCACCTTGCCCAGCTGGAAAATATATTTTTATTCTCCTTTTTTTTCCTCAGATATAAAAGGTAATGTACAGAGTGTTCTATATCTTGCTTTTTTTTCAACTACTGGTCATTGTGGAGATCCTTCCACATCAGTACACAGAGAACCTCTTCCTCTTAAAAATTTTATTTTTTATTTTTTGAGTTGCAGTCTCACTCTGTAGCCCAGACTGGAGTGCAGTGGCCGCTCCCGGCCACCGCAGCCT